AAAAAAAAAATTAGAACTATAATTTTGTTATTATAAATAGGTGAACTGTCCAAATTATTCTTAACTGAAATAACAAATCATAAATTATATATTACATTGTGTAACATTTTACATACCACTTATTACACTAATTTATTATTCTTTAATGTTTAATTACTGGAAAGATATAATGTTTTGTAATTAAATGTTTTTCTTTGAAAGAATAGCTTTCTTTCGCTTGAGGTTGTTCCGAAGAGTTAGCCACCATACTCTGGTGTTTCAATCGACCATCGGTGATTTATGAAAGAAAAGAATGGCAAATCAGTGTATGTAGAATCGAATTCTTATGGATTTTATTACATTCATTTTCTTTAAGTTACAACTTGTAGAAATTAAAAAATTTAATGTTAATACATTAATAACATTTGAAAAAAAAAAAAAAAAACTGCATTTCTTTCTATATATAAAAAGTGCCTATTTAACGGAATTTGTTGGTTTAACGGAAAAACTAACGGAATTTGTTATTTTAACGGATTATGTAACAAAATTTCTTGTTTTAAACAGGCAGATGCACCTTCCTTCATTGTTTTTTATCATAATTTTGTATTCCGATATCCGATTGAAGCGATTCAAAATGTGTTGGAAAGCTNAAAAAATGTATACTTTGTGTCAAATCACACTTTTTTTGAGGTTGAAAATGAAGGAAAAGTTATTGATGTGATGAAAAATATTATTTTATTGATGAATGTGTGGTTGAAAAAAATTAGTAGAAGAATGAGAATGAAAAAAAGAATGGATACCAAACAGAGGCTCAAAGTACATTCTAACTTAAAAATGGGGTTCAAAGTTCAAACATGCTCTTAATCTGCCGTACCCGACGTGTTATAACTTCCCATCTAATAATGTGCAACAATAATGTTTCATGTCCTTGTCCTTGAAATTATATGGTATATAGAAATTTTCCATTTTAACAGCCAGTTTATTTATTTATTTTTAATCCATTTTGTATTTTTTAGGGGAAAATTTCACTTTTGGTCCTTAACTCTTAAAATGTAACAAGTTGGTCATTAGAGTTGCACAACAGCCAGTTTATTTATTTATTTTTAATCCATTTTGTATTTTTTAGGGGGAAATTTCACTTTTGGTCCTTAACTCTTAAAATGTAACAAGTTGGTCATTAGAGTTGCACAATTATTCCTCAATGATAGAAATTGTTTAAATATGTATTGAATCATTAAATGATGTTTACATCTAATTTTATGATGTTCGATATTTTGAAAATAGATGATTTTATGACGGTCGCGTGACAATCTAACATAGACGTTCACAATTCTCGTCTAGATTATAAGGCAACTAAAAACAGAATGACGTACAAGAAGACATGTAAAATCTTCATTTTGTTAAAACGTTGTACATAAAATTATATATATATATTTATAAATTTATATGTAATTTTGGAAATTGTCAAGATTAGGGCATGCATGTACCCATAGCATTTTCCAATTTCTAATTGGGCACTATGATACTATAACAAACAAACAAAGCGGTGTCGTTTAACATTGATTTGGGGGTGCTAATTACTTATCAAGTTTTTTTTGGGACCTGAAAATGGGCATGTGGGCCCAGAGTCCAGGCCCAGTAACTTTTTTATACTGACTCTAAAATGTGTGTATGACTGGTCAACATCTGGGTTTCTGTTCTCAAACAATATAAAGGAGAGTAAAGGATAACTGTAGGATCAGAGACCTGGAAACACAATGGGGTCAAATTGGTCCGGACTCTGGTTCATAAAATTTAAAGATCTGTCAATGAATTGAAATCATTGACACAATAGGTGGTTGGCTTGATTGATGATTCATTAATAGGAACTTGCTGACCATTTGTATGGTTATACGTGCGGTGCATGTCGCGATGCGTGTGGTGTAAGGGGAGTCCAAAGCAGCACGATGGTGTGGTGGGCCAAGGAGCAGTATTCGGCAATGGTATAAGACTTGGAGTCGTATTTTAAAAAAGTCAACATTATTAAAGGGCGTAGTGAAAACACTTTCACATTAGTTAATATCTTCATTTTTATTCGATTTGAGATTTATCCCTTAACGTATAATGAGTGCGAGGGATGATAGCCACGGATGATGGTATCCAAAGTGATATATGATGAAGAGACGGAGTGCGACACGAGTCCTTTCACTCTCGTTAATCCCAATCAGTGTTCTAATATGCGCGTATATGCTTCACACATATTTGCATATGTTCAATGCTTTTTCGAAACTTATCGCATATGGGTTATGCTTGAGATAATGCAGTCAACCTATTTTGTTGACCGTATATGTACGCTTAAATGTCAAAATATGCATATATTTGTGTCAAAATTAACTTAGTAAAGCCCACCCCATTTTTGTAACTTAAAAAAAGCAAATTGAACCATACAAACACCAAATTAGTCCAAATCACTCAAACCTTTGAATCATATATAGCAATCTTAGGGTTTTGACGTTTAAAAAAATAAAAAAAATCACAACAAATTTTTCATAGAGTTGCAAATTATCTACGTCGAACCCGAGTATCATCCATTCATCCTTCGATCTTTCTTTACTTTTATTAGCAAGTGATGCTAGTAATGAACAATCTTGAATTATTGATGGTCGTGATGATGAGAATGAAGTAAATAATGATATCCTCCCATTTATAAAATATAATAGAAATTCTCGAGTTGAAATAAAGGAGAACCCGATGAAGATGATTTTACATTGGATGACACGAAAGATGATTTGGATGAAGAGAAGTTTGAATTGGAATCTGATAAAGAGTTAGATTTTTTTAAAGCCGATGTTCGTGTCTAATCTAATTGTAGAAATTAATTACCAAATGATTGAAGTTTTTATGATATTGAGCATTATGTTTTT